TTATTGTTTTCCCTCCCCTCAGAACAGTTGCTTTAAGTGAGGTTTAGCTCTGAAAGACAATTATAAAAGTGATAATCTTGCCTCTGTGTTTGGCTGTTTGCTAAAGAATTTCAGCTCCTACTTGCTCACAACACCAGCCCCAGCGCCGACAGCCCATCTTGCCCAGTGTTCAGGGCAGTACACAGAGCACCGATGGCTTGCGCCTGTGCCAGGAGCAGCACTCCCATGCACTGCCTCATGTTGCCCAGAAGCTGAACAGATTGGCAGTGCCGCTAAAACTTACCTGTGTTGTAGTTGGTTCTACTGAGGATGCAGAAAAACCTCTGGAAATAAACCTTTTCCATGCCAAGGTGCATACAGTCTGTTGCACTAATATGAGTAAAAACTGAAAAGATGCACAACAATGAGTGTAAAGTGATTATTTGCTTAGCAAAAAAATACCTCTTTAAATGGTTGCTCTTCTGTATAAACTTGCACTTAGAGTTCTGGCTTTTTTTAGTAGAATACAATGTAGTTCATCTCTACAGAATCACTTATGGAACATAGATCATAGTGTTGTGTGGTTTTTTTTTTTTTTTTTTTTTTTAACATCATTCCTCATGGCTTTTCTTCTCTCATCACTCTATTATTATATGGTAAAAAAAAAGTATGTATCTCTTTAGGGAGGAAGAAAGCATTGGTTAAGAATATTTTAATTCTCATGCAGCTCAATTCTAAAGAATTTCAAGTACCTAGCTCTCTTAGTGTCTTCAGTGGAAGCCTAGCATCTCTCCTACAGCTTCTTGACATCTCTGAGTAAGGCATTTATACAAATGACCTCTCTCTTTGGCCGTCATCTCATGGTCTTTTAGCAAAGTTGCTTAAACCTTTGCACACACGCAAGCTGTGACCCAGTGGACTGACTGTTTCCTAGGACATCCTCTTCTGCTCGAGACAGAGCACCCTGACATCCCTCTGCCCACCTCGCTTCAAGATAATATGTAACAGACTGCCAGACTGTTTGGAAATAATTTTCTGCAGTCATTTTCAGCTCTGATCTGAAGGTCTTTGAGTGTTGAAGGTTAAGCAGTTCGAGTTCCAGCTGGAATAAACAGGCTTTTATATGTGAACTCTGAAATACGCATTCAAAGGTTACACCTGTAACTTCTGTGGCACAGCTGTCTCTTACCCATGCCCTTGAACCTGGAAGACCAGTAGGTAACAGATAAACTAGATTTGTCTTGCTACGGGTGACCTGAAGCCAGTTTGCTCTGCTGTTGCTCTTTTTGGAGCGCAAAATTCCCTACACTGAATTTCAACAGTACTCGACTTAGAATTTGGTTCACGACTATCCATTGGGGTGACAGCCATCCAGTGACGACACAAGGATAGAAAAACCCCTGGGCACACATCCAATGACTACCCTTCATCTCATGCATGTGATGCTCTTCCAGTTTTTAAGATGTAAGTCTCAACACTCCAATAAATGTTGTCTAACCTTTAGAAGTGTACAGGGGACAGAAATAAGCAGGCGAGAGAACACAGCTGTAATGCTATTAAAGGCTCTCATTCCTTTTCTCCTCCCTGTAATGTTTAAAGGATGGGCATTGAAGCCAATTGTGTGCAATCTATTTGGGGATGGAAAAAAATAAGCCAGCAATCTTTTTTCAGAACTACTATGTGGGAAGAGCACCGTTCCTTGTGGTTTTCTTTTTCCAAACAACCGCTAAGCCGGTGGTAATCCTGAGCAGAGCTGAACGCCATTCAGCTGGGGTGCGTTGGGCACCCAGAACCGGGTCTAATTCTCAGGAAACTATCAGCGGCATCCCACCACACGCATCCTTCTGCTTTACCCCAAAGTACAGGGTCACAGGACTGAGCTGCTGGATGTATCAATTCATTAACTTTGTTTGTAAGTTAATGGTTCTTGTTATGCAAATTAGTACTGATATGTAAATTACTCTTTTCCCTGTTAGCTGTTAAAATAAAGAGCATAATCTCTATATTCCAGATGTTTGTAGAAGATTATTACTCACCAGAATGTAAATTTTGATTTATTATTTCCAGTTCTAGTAATCATTAACAACTACTGGTAGTTTAAGAATTCCTTTTTCATTCCAAAGGGTAGAATTTACCTGGTTTTACATCAAGGCAGATTAAGTAAGCCACGCTGAGCAGTTATTACCTTTCTTTTCAATCATACTGCTGTAAAAAGGCAGTGTACTTTTTCAACTCTAAATTTCACCTTTTAATATTAATATGTTGACATATCAAACAATGTCACTAATAGGTAAAGCAGAACAAAATGAGTCACTATTTAAACTATCTTTTTTTAGATTATGCTTTCTCTATTAAAGTATATCAATCAAAAGACAAAGAGAAACAACTTAGATATGCAAAGAAAAAACTTGCAGAAATGTACAAGGTGAGATGAAGTGAATAAAAGAACTGTATCAGAATACACATAATGAAAATCCAAGAGATAAACCAAATTAACTTCTTGATTAAACACAACTAATGGGAAGACACGTGCTCTATCTTGAGAGTTTTTAATTCTGCTGCAGACAAGATGCAGTAAGTCAAAGCTAGGGAGGAAATAGAAAGGTGGCTGGGTGATGTTTTCCCAACCATAGATACATGAATAATTACATGTGTCTGTTCTGCCTGACTTCTGGCCCAAAATACTTGACAGAGCTAATTTTTAATTTGTTCTCTTAAAGTCCTTTTAGCCCAAAATATCCTCCCTAACACGGCCTGGTTCTGGTTTTGTTGCTCAGCTATGCTGCTGTTGTTCTGGCTCTGTTTTAGCAGAGCTGATCCTCAAATGTGTAATGAGAGGTTAGTCTAATGCAGCATGTATAGCAAAGAGCCTGGCAGCCCCCAGAAAATCATATCAGATGGACTACTTGTAGGCTCTATTAGATTTGTTCTCAAATTAGGCCTATGATGTCTTGGGTGATTACTATAGGGTGTTACAAGGCTACCTTGTGTGCAAGTATGTGACAGAATAAGGGATGTTCTAGTAATTCCAGAACTGCTTATATTTCCCCCTAAAATCAATAGAACTGTATTATCCAGGCAGACATCTGGTTTCGCTTAGTGCTTTATTATAAGGATATCTAATTGCCTGAAGGTCTGTTTGTTGATCAAGCAACCAGATGAAACTTTACCTTAGTATTCAAACTAACACTCGGTCACCGTTTAAAAATTGCCTGTGATAGGAAGGCTGTGAAGTCTGTTGTCTGACATCCCTTTCCTGTGATACAAGGCCAAGTATACAGAGAGAAACAAAATTATCAAAATTTCTTGGCTACTGCTCTTCCTTTGAGCCATCCCATGACACATCTAATTCAAAGCTCCTCCAGACATGTTTCACAGATTTATTATGTAAAACTCCTCTCTCTGAAAGAGGAGAATTATCACTCATCAATTTTTAACCCAGGCTGTTTCACTCACGCAGTTTACAGCGTGACCCAATTCAATAGTTGTCTTGGAACAACTGAGGGGGTGACAAGCCACGGCATGTGCGTGGGAATGAGTGACTTTGCTACCAGACATCGTGTAATGTTAGAAACGCCCTGAATTTCAACAGCACAACCTAGTCAGTCAAGGCAGAAGCCCACATAATTGGGTTTAATACTGCTATGGAAACTATGCTGAGGGCTAAAAATACTGTTTAAAAAGTAGAGATTCTGTTCTTGTGTGTTTTTCCATCAACTCCTCGCTTCAATGAGAGTTGTTTCAAGCCCTGTCTGAAAAGATGGAGCATTATGGAGCAGTTAAAGATAACATGAAGATGTTCTCTGATAGCAGTTAACTCTAAAGAAACACAAATCTTGCACTTTAACAAATATTTCAAATGCACCAAAACCCCGAGAATTTTTAATATTTGTTGTCTTGGAAGTTAGGATGAATATACACATATTTAAGCACTAAACTAGTTATTAGAAAAATACATGCTTAATTCTGTCTAACTTAGAATTTTTGCTCCTTTTTTTTTAATCCTTGAGTTCAGTTTTGCAAGTCTTCAGTCCCCACTGGCCTGTTGTTGTGGAACTGTTCAAAAGTCCTTGTCTAAATATTAAACACCCTTGGAGTGTGATGGTACATTGTGTGCTACTGGAAGTGCTGCTGATAGCATGTCTGTTTTCACCAGCAACATGTTGGCTCACCCACTAGTACCAAGAGTATCTACTTTGCTATGCTTCCTTGCCTCCTTCCTCTCACCTCCTTAAGAAAGTGCTTATAAAGAGAGAATTAGATAGGAAAAAAAAAAAAATCTTCCTTCAAGGTTACATTCTTCAAGAATTAAAAAACATTGGATGTTTTCCCATTGGCGTTTATGGGACTGTTTGTTTTTAAGTCAACAGGAGACTTAGTCTTGCAACTTGCAAGGAGACTTGCAGCTCATGGCAGCTGCAAAGGAAGGCTGAGCTCCAAATCACCTGAAGTGTCCATGCCTCTTCCCTCAGTGTGGTAATGGAAATGAGAAGGTGCCAAAAATATCAGGATAGAAAAATTATGTGGCTTTGCTGGTCATTTTGACATTTCAGAAGTGCTAGGGTTTTGTTGGTGCTAGTTATTTTCTGCACTCCATCAGGTTTCTGTGTGTTCCAGAGGACCCTTCTTGGAGGTTGGAGACTTTTTTTTCACTATTTGGATTGCCACTTATGATGAGACAGGCAATCAAACTGTAATGGAAACTGTTTTCCTTGCTTGATTTTACCTTGTTTTGTTTTGTTTTCCTCCGGGATGGGTAGCTCTGCCTCTAAGCCTAGGTGTCCTTGTCCTAAGCTTCTACACAGCCACAAGTAATTTCAACCTGTTTGTGAAAGGGCAAAACCAGATGTGTGTGAGAGGTTTTTTTTTCTATATGGGAACATTAAATGGGATGCACTTGTGTCTTTGCCTGAAAGATTGTATCTCTCCAAGTGCCTTTTCCTAAAGCACTGGAATTGAGCTGAAAGCAACCAACTTGGGACGGGGAGTAGCTGCAGCGCGCTGCCATCTGCGCCGCTCCAGGGATGGCACGTGCAGGTGTTACCGGTCAGCCAGGGATGGCCCAGCACTGCAGATCTTGCTTTGTGCCCAGCCAGCTTGTGGTCAGCCCAAGCGCTCTGACCTTTGCTTAAATGCAGGCAGCAATTTTACATGTCCGTTCTCAAAAGCAGTGAGATGTGAGAGCACAGACTCGCCTGAGCAGCCTGTTCCTCTGCTCCCATGGTCTCCCATGCGGGCTTGGCACAGGCACCTGGGATACGATGGAGCAGCCATATGATGTTGCCGCTGGTTTCTATTTGCGAGCACAAGGTTACCAAGGCTCATACTTGAAGATCAGGAACACAAACAGAAGACCCAAGTCTGCTCCCACTCCCTGTAGTATCAACACCTGGACTGCAATTTGGCAGGTGTCATCAGAATTAAGCACTAAATCTGGTGTGTGGTTTTTGTAACACTATGATTTAGGTTTACTACAGTGCAAATAACATGCAGTGTGCTGGATCCAGCAGAGGATACCTCTCTGGTAGGTAAGCTCTTGGCTTCTGAAGGTGAATGTTCATCAAGCATTTTGCACCTGAAGAGTGCTATAGCTGATAACATGCATGAGGAACGATGGTTCTGTCTCAATGGATAAGGTGAAAGGAAGTGGGTTAACAAATAATGGGAAATAATTGCACCAGTCTTTGCAGATCATCTCAATAAACCTACTTCTATTATTTACTTGCTGTCATATACACTAGAAAACACCCTATATTGTCTCTTAATTATGCTAGGAATGTCCCAGGCACTTGTAGTTTCTCTTCACGTCAGTCTCAGGAAATCCTCCAAATATTTTTGTTGCTTTCCTTTGAATTAATTCCTCCCTGCCCATATTTGCCTGGAATGAGAGCAATGAGAAATGAGCTATGGTCTCACTGATATGAGGAAGATGATCTGGAATTTCTGCTCTTGTTTGTCATTATCACTCGTGACAATTTATCTTCCAGGTAAATTATTCCTCTGAATATATTCCTCCTCATTGGATTTCTGAGCTAATACACCTAAATATTTAATTTTCTTAGATTAAACAGTAACTTTATTTACTACTTATGCTTCTGTGCTCAGAGGAGGCTGTTCCATATGCTCTGTACAATCCAACATGGAATGTTTCTTGTGACTAAGCACCTTTTATTTGAATTGATATCAAAATGTTACCCAAATGTGCAGCAAGTTAGCCTCACAAAAGGAAAAAATATTTTTCAGAACTGCTGCTAGAATCAGTGGGAATATTTGAATCAAAATGGCAGCGTCTGGTCCTCAGTTCTCTTTTGAAAAGCACTACCCAGCAACAAATGAAATTGAGCCAACATAACCATTTAAAATAGCAAAGTAAACAGTTCATGCCGTAGTCAAGATAATCCTTAATTTCTCCTGCTTATCTGAGATCTGCCCTGCTGATCTGATGGGAGGATTTAATCTTCCTGAAAGCTGTTATCATTGTGTGTGCTTGAACTGGGAAGACCCCTTTTCCACCTCCTTTTTTAGAGACCTTTCTCCTAGAAGATTAATGCTGCTGTGCCTCTTTTAAAAAAAAAACCTCTGAAATATGGATTATTTTTAGAGGTATACACTAGGGATATTTTGGTACAATACAGCTTGAGGGAGATAAAAAATAATGCCTGTTTAAAAGATTCACTCTTTTTCTTTACAGAAGAACTGTGTTGTCTTAAATTATTCTAATTTTTGTCTCGCATAAGTACATGTAGTTGTGGCAATTAAAAAGAGAATCAGTGGCTTATGGTTTCTGCCAGTTGCGTAACCAACTCAAAAGCTATAGGGAATTTTAATTTCAAATTTCTCTGCGCTATGTTGGAAACCATTTTTGTAATTTTCTATTTCTCTTGGGATACTGTGTGAAACACAGAACAGCAGAGCAGATGGCCTGCCTTCTATTTCCAAAGAGACGAGTAAAACCACTGTGTTCAAGAGGGAAGTCTGAAGGGGGTTTCTCTGAGGTATGGGAAAGCCCAGTCTAACATCTGGATCAAAACAAAAACCAGAGCCAGTTTAACAGGTTTAATGTATAACACTTTTCATAAGTAAACGGACGTATTCGTGACATTATCTTTACTACGCTTCTATGATTTAATCTAAAAGTAAAAAAAAAAATAATTAAAAATCCATCTTTAAATTCTTTAAATTAAGATTCTCTAGTATACCTGCACCTTGGGGAGAGGAAAGAATCAGTGGGTGAAACTTCTTAGGCTTAGTCATAGTAGGAGCAAGGAGTGATGGCCTGAAATATGCAGCAAAAGTTCTCAGAATAGAGAATGAGTCATTACTGCCCTTGAACTTCGTGAATCTGAAACTATATTTATCATTTTGCATTGTTCCTGAGCTGTGTATTTGTAGTTCCACAAACAGAGCAACTTGCCTTTTCTGCCCTGAGGAGCTAAAACAGGGAAATTCTAGGGAGAGAAGTTGAGGATTAATTTCTTGAAGTGAGTTTTAAGGAAAGCTTTATTGAAGAATACTCACATTGGGAGATTACTGATGTGAAGGTGATACTGACAGGTTAAAGGAAGAAGGTAATAGCATCCAAAGTTTTTTTTACAAAAAAAAAAAAAAAAAAAAAAAAAAAAAAAAAAAAAAAGGAAATGAGTAAAATGAGAGTTCATGTAGGGTCAAGAATGCGTAACATGGCATACTGTTATAAAAGGCAAGTATTTTTGTTAAGGTAGTACTTTCCCACCCCCACCGCCCAAACTTACTTGCAAAGTTCTTAAGAGAAACCAGAGCACTAAAAGGAAAGATCCAGATCACTACATTTTGCATTCTTCCTCTTCTTCCCCTGCTATATTATAAGTGAATTAAGACAAGTTTTTGAACTGGGTCATTGCTAAACAGCTGGCTTGTGAAAGAGCACAGCTGTCACACCAAAAATATCACCTTAGCACAAAAAAATCAGTGGGGAATCTTATAAGTGTCTGCAGAACTGTGTGTTCAATTAATGACCAAATGCACATACTGGAAGAGCACTTGCTGTCTCTGGTCTTACAGCAGCAGCCCCTGTAGAAAGAATGGAAAAGGTGCTTGAGTGAGTTCTCTCTTTACAGCATTTTACATAACGGAATTTTAAAAATGGGAATTATTATTACTGGATGACAGGATAAAAGAGGCAGTTATTGGCTTGCCAAAAAGACTTAGCAAATGGAAATCCAGAATTAGTTCCAGGAAATGTAATAGGTAATGTAATAAGTATGTGAGAACTGTAGGTACTTTGCATTTTTGTATGTGAAGTAACTGCAGCACAGGATTACACATCCCACACTGATATTTCAAGTTTCCTTGTTCAGTGGGAAGGAACACCACTGGTGAGCTGAGGCTCATTTTATAGGCATAGATTATCAGCTATCTTTAAATCTGCTTCCAAAAACTCTCATGGCTGTTGTGACAATTTATTAGCATAGGGAACTCCTGTGGGCATTTGTGCTGCAGTGTAAGTATAAGTAAAGGCTATTCTGAAGATCTATTTGTAGTGATTATCTCAGACTCAGCACATGGAAAACTGGTAACAAAACCCCTTCTTTTACATTGTTCTTTAAGAGCAATTTACTATGCCTAGACAGCTGAAATTTTCAGTCTGGGGGGTGGTGGAAAATAAAATATCAGTATCTTCAGAGTAAAACATTTCCAATAAAGTGTGTGGCAAGCTCATTTTAACTCAAAACTACAACTTCTCTACCCCCGCCTCCCCCAAACATAATAAACATACCAAAAGAAATAAACTTTAATGCATAGGGAAATTGTTCACAATTAAATTTAGTGCCAATAGATTCAGAACTCCAGAAGCATTTACATTTTTGCTAAGAAAATAATGATTCCTGAAGTAAGAAATCTAGTGGCAATTTAAATACTGGTTTCCACGTTGGCATTACTGATGAAATAGGATGACAACAGACCTCCCCTTCTACTGTTACCCATAATGGGTACAATTTACTAATATAGACTTGTACTCATCTAGGACAAATTTAGCAACTGGTTATGTGAGCAAAGGGTTTTACCAGGTAACTGCAAAATCTGTGACTTCCAAGATACTGTCTACTGGCAAGCAGCAGGTTGGGATGCTGCGAAAGCAGCTTAAGTATACGTAAGGAGTGACATTTATACTCTGTGCTGAAGCCCTACAGTTATTTTCTGCTGCTCTTCCCACTTTGGCCTTTGGCATTACATTACTATGGGTCGGTGTTTCCTGAACTGAGACCTGTAGATGAGCAGTAGCGAAATACTCACGCTCTTAACTAAACCTTTGACAATGTGAGCATGAAGAGCAGCTGTGCCCAATTCATCTAGGTGTCCAGGTAGCTTACTACTTTCTTTTTAAGCTGTACGCTTCGGTCTCCACTGGAAGCTTGGCAAGGAGCTACGCGATTACATTTTTATTGCAGATGGGTGGAAACCCATTAGTAGATCTGCGCGTTACCTGAAGCATTTGGCCCAAAGAGTTTGGGAAGCACTTTTCTCACCCAGGCCGTTCCCAACGCACTGCTGTCTCCCGAGCCCCGCCCCCCGCGCCCGGCGGGCCGCGCCGCCCCGACGGCTCCAGG